TGGCGGGGGGGGGAAAGGGGCTATATTGAACATATTTAGCTGTGCTGAAATAAAGCAGGAACATATCAATTCTAATTACAATATTCTCGTCTTCCCGATCAAGTTTCCAACTACAAGTATTCTCAACAAAAGACAGAAGTTTCCCGCCCGCGCGAAACTTAACAGGCACACGTGACGCACATAAAAGACAACCGTGCATTTATTTAACCTTTTCACCCCTGAACGGAAACACGCAAGCGAAACTTACATAACAGACAAGACAGTTAGTAGGTGAGCTACTCGTGGTAATAACAGCACTCACTCAGTCAGTCAGTCCTCACTTGCCATCGGCGAGATGGAAATTGATTGATTGATTTTCTTCCTTAATCGTATTCCAGCCGGCTGAGCCCTGACGTCAATTGGACGTCACACGCCTTATATGGGAATGTTTACAAACATTCATTCGTGTTTTTTCTTGTCTGGTGTACATTCACAGGCTAAACGTTTGAACACGTCTGCAGAAATCGTTTTGAATTATGTAGTTAATGTTTCTGACACAAAACTGAATATCTATACATGGCAAAATCATAATATTATTTTTTTAAAAATTTATTATATTATCACACCGTCTGTATCCTTGTGTCTGACCACGCTAAGCTCTGACCCCAGCAGGTGAATAAAAATGCTTCTAGGCTTTCTATCCCTTACAAATAAGAGACTTAAAGTAACTTCTCCACAATCTTTGAGTAAAACCAATGTATTCGTTCAGATTCGTACCCACAAGAGTTATTATCTTGTTATTTTTTTTTTACAGGCTGCCTCGCTGTTGCCTCATATTGATTGAGAAACGTCCTGTTGTCTTGCTATCGTTTGTGAAAACATTGATCCTATCCCGACCTTAACCTGACGTGTAATTTCCCCAAACATTATCTCACAGTGACGTAGCTGTTTTATCGACAACAGCGTCGAAAAATTTCCTTTTCCTCTCAGAAGAAAATCAGTGTTGCTCTAAATGGGTCATGCTCATGGCGTTCTTTACTTTGTAAAGTACGCTATGGTCATGCTCCTATTGACATTGCATTATTACTATCGTATGAATGGACTGGTCCGCTGTCTGTGAACATTTTTCTATTGGTCAGTAAAAATAACACGGAAGATGATTGGTTGAGAAGGGAAATTACATGCGGAGGGCACTCCTCATTTTTACTATTACTACTCTAGCGAGTTGTTGTGTTGAGGATAACTTGTCTCGCATTGAACCTGTCTGCCTGCCTAACCGGGACGCAGCAGACATTTTACCAGCCGTTTTTCTTTAAATAATTATTTATTGTTTCATATTGAGTGGTGAATTTGTACAATGATGAAACATGGAGCGTTAGAAATTGTAGCCGTGGAAGAGTTGAAACCCAATGAGAAGATTCCAGACGATGTTCCGTCGATTGCTATCGTGAGTACTCATTTTCATTTTCCTCTCTCGCTATTTCGTCATCAAAACACTCGGCCCCTCGTTCGAAGTGGAGCCGAGATGAGCACATTACATTACAGTTTTATCCCCCCCCTCCCGAGCACATTACATTACAGTTTTATCCCCCCCC